TTTATTAAGCCTTCATCTATTCTCAAAAGCTTGAAAAATTGGACTAAACCACATATTATGTTCATCTGTTCTGTGGTCTATGCATATTACAAAGCTTGGTAAGCGCATAATTGAAGGGCGGTGTCGTAAAAATAAAAAAATATGTGATGATATTAATTTGCTTTTAGTATGGACTATCTAAGCTAATTTCCTTTTTAAATAATCTTGACTTACGGCTTGGCAAAATAGAGTTTGACGCGGTGACAGCTGATTCGGACTGAATCACCCACTTCAGGCCATATCCCATGAATAAACAATCAACCGAACATAATACCTCCTCTTTTTAAACTCCATGAAAATAAGAAATATCAAAACCAATTGAGTCGTAGCATACTAGGTCGCCACAGGTACGATAGTCTCAATTACTTCAAACCCTTTTTTGTCAAGCTGTCGATTCCATAATTATTTCTATGATTAATTGACACTAGGAAGACGGGTCCCCTGGTCCGTCGCTCCGCCTTTTGGCCCATTTTGAAATTTGTTCCCGTCTTTCTAGTGTTAATCGAGACTTCTAAACTCTAGAGTGTTCATTACAAAATGGCGATTTATTTCTAGCACAATTTCTTTCCATAATTCATGTTGGTAAGAATGTTATACCTAACATTATTTATTTTTAGATATCAATAACTACGTATTCCAAATAGTAGGTACTTACAAGCAAACTAAGTTGAAGGTTACTTTTCTAAAATAATGATTAACAAATAATTATTTCAAACAAACTTCTGTGAACGTTATTATTTATAGAAGTAAATAATATCTACCTACCATTGTGATCACGTAATCACGCGTGAATGTTCCAAAATGAATATCTTTATTGAAACGTATATAAACAAACACACAGGCCCCTGGTTTTACGTATTTTGTAGGTATGTAAATAGTACGTCATAATTTGTACAAAATAATTTGATATAGATACATTTTTTTTAAGATTTGAGCATAAGACTCTTATCATAAATACAAAGTCCAGTGCCGCTGTGTTTTGATTAAATACTTAAAATGGGATGATAATGCCTAAAATTAAACAAAATTATGTAATTACTTCAATCTTGGATAAAGCCTGGGTACTTGCCAACTAATCAAATTCAATACTTTTTTCGAACTGTCAAAAACGACAGTTTTCTATGAATTTCGTACGAGGTTGTGTATTGTGACGTCACGGGGTTTTAGTGTCAAACAATATACTTATTTTTTTAATTTGCTGGAAAAATTCTAAAACTCAGTTGATCATAAACACAATTAATGAAAGTGTGATTATTTTTTAATATTTTGTTGTATTGAACAGCCGAAAAAATGTATTTATGACTAAGGATAATACCCAATTTAAAGCTATACACTTAAATCCTATGATTGGAATATTTTTTATTATTTACACTAGGAAAATATTGTTAGTAAAATTAAAGAAAAATACGTTTTTATAAACAATTTTTTGTTGATTATTAATGAAATTAACTAAAAACTTAAAAATAAACGAAGTCTAACTAATAAGAAATAGAACAATAAAAGCGTGTTACATTTTGTTAGCGAGAATAAAAAAAACTGAATGTCTCTAATTATACCATCAAAATGTTTTAAATACATAATTATGTAGTTCCTATGGCCACCTTCCAGCACCATCAAGTCCTGGTTACCATATAGTACCAACCAAGACGAATGACACGATTCCAAACTTGATGGGGAGGTACATCATCAGATCAGCTAAATGTCATTAATACTTTAACTGCCAAGTTTAAAATGGTGAAAGTCAAACCTCCACTAGCGTCAGGCACCGGTGACTGACGTGGCGCTCTAAGGGTTAATATCGCATTGTTAACCAATTGGGTATATTCATGGGTCAAAAATTAATTATTTTGATATTTCAATACAATTAAATATTCAAAAATAATTACAATTCCATTCATATATTTGAAGATATACTTAACTTTCGATTAATTCTAGCATTTTTTTCAGTAATAAATGTATTACTTATTTGATTCGAACATATGATGACGTCATAAGTTAGTTTTTGGTTCAAAATTCATAAAAAAATATCGTTTTTGATGTTTCGATAAAAGTATTGAATTTGATTAGTTGTAAAATACCGTATACAATACATGCATACTTTCAGCTCAATAGGAAAACTGGGAGAGAATCAAATTTAACTTGCAATATTTGATTACATACAACGGTACAGGTTAAACGAGGACGTTGAATGACAAACCTACCCCTTCAAACAAAAAAAAATGTTTAAAATCGGTCCAGGGGGCTTAGTCTTGAATCCAATTTCGATAGATCGACATTGACATTGTAAAATTTCGTACTCTTGAGTTACAACACTAGCGCCCATTGCACCCGTATTGCGCGGATATTGAATGAACTAAACGGTATTGAGTTTGGCTTTATATTCCGTTCTCTAAATGCTATTTTAACAGCTACGACAGGGATTGTTTAGTTTTGACATTGAATAATTATTGAGATTTTATTGGATTGAAATTGCATTGACATTGAGAATGGTTTCAAGAGTAAGCACCCAGGCGTCTTCGAGTAATCGAATAACAAACATAAAAAAATACAGTCGAATTGAGAACCTCCTCCTTTTATTTGAAGTCGGTTGAAAAAGGCGGGCATTATGTCACTTGATTGAATCACAATGATTAAAGCACCAAAACGTCAGTGGGTTATTTATGTGTGCGTGTGTAATGGGTTACAACATTACCGGGCTTAAAAAATGGCAATGATGTCCTTGTTGTCAATGTGTGTATGTTCCGAGTGTTAGTCTATAGTACACCAGGTGCCACAGTCGTTGTTGCAAGAGACTGAGTCCGCCTTTTTTTCAATGACCTTGGTAAAAGTAGTTAAAAGCTAATAATAATAAAAAATGTATAATGATAATAACTATCGTGAGACATACTATATTAAGTAAAATCGCGGGTTACTCACGTGAATATACTGAGAAAAGCTCTACTACTTTCGACCCACAGAGGGGTTCCTCATGAGCAGCGTGCGCGGTCGCGGCAATATCACGCAGCCTACTAGCTGCTTTTCTCAGTATATTCACGCGAGTAACCCACGATTTTTAGTTAATGTATAATGATACTAAAACACAATGTAGTATAAATATTCAGCTACAACACATTTATATAGTTTTGTAGCTATCATTGCTTTATTTGTATTAGTACAGCAAATAAATAAATAGCTATAAATATACCTGTCGAATCAAATACATAATGTTTCGCTACGAATATTAGACCAATATTCCCATGAAATTCTCTTATTTGGTTCAGTAATAGAGTAACGTGGATAATATTTGCTCATCCGTGAATAACATGAAATGATCCCACAGGGAAATAGTGCCTGCTAAATAATCTGTGATAGGACAAATTAATTATCTGTGGTCAAATGTAGGATGCCGATTTAAAAAAAAAAACGTTGTACCGTTCTATGTGTATATTTTCGTGTGTCGTGGATGCGTTTACAAATATTCAATTTACATACACATGACTCTCAGACCCGAAATAACAATTTGTGAATCATACAAAGAGTTGCTCCGTGCAGGAATTTTAATTGCTACTTTCATGTTTAGGTCGTAAATGACTTCGATTTGCGTATTTAGTTTATGGATATTATTTTGTAACACTGCTTCTATGGCGGAGTGGAGTTAGGAGTTTCATGATCAACTCGTATTGTCAACAGCCTGTGGACTTCCTACATAAGGTTAGCCATGATCTTCACGTTTGCCAGACGTATCGGAGATCTAATTTAAATAGTCTAACTTCCATCACATTATTGCATCAGTTCATACAAGCTACCCTGGTGAGAGAGTAGGAGTTGTCTTGTATCAGTAAAAGTCTGACACGCCCTCAAGAGTCATGTGATGATTTTCAGGCCAAGGTCAGACAAGTGGTTTAATGCACCTAGAACTAGACTTCTAAATATACAAATACACATATCACCTATTTCATACCTACGATGACTATAGCGGTGTAGAATCAAGAAGGGCAGACAAGGTTAATTCTGGTACACTCGTAAAAATAAACACAAAAACGTGATGTCCGCACACATACGATTGAAGAGAAGCAAATTAACATTCCCCCGTTCGGCAAAATAAAATTCGGCTTCGGCTCAATCTTAGCCGAAAAGAAATTTTGCGTGTTTGTTAGTAATCACAAACTGTTTGACGTAAGGTGTCGCGGGTTCGACTCAGGCACGGAAAAACTCTTAATGTGATATATACGTCCTTTAACCGATTTAAAAAAAGAAGGTAGTACTCAGTTTGATCTGTATGTATGTTTGTGCGTGATTATCTAGCTGAATCAATTTTAATGCGGTTAGCACTTAGGAGGTTTTAGTATAAAGCGACTTCAAGAGAGGGGGATCATCAATCGTTTTTGAAACGTAGTTTATAAATAATTAAATAAAAAATCTAATTTAAAAATTGTACTTTATCACTCAAAGAGAAACCACGGACAAAACTAGTATTATTGTACGTTTAACAAAGACAAAACAATATCAAAACAAACTCTTGAAAGTAAAGGAATATTCGGTGAAAACTTCTTGTTTCGACCGTAGCTCGGCCTTATGTAAATGCGATTCGATTTGGCCGATATTCGCCAAAACATTCGGTTCATCTCTAATGTAACACAATAAAAAAAAAGTAATGTATACTTTTTTGTCGAGGGCATTGATCTCGTGGGTTATTTATTCTATCAGTTGTTTTTATCGTTTTATACCTACGAAAATGGAACAAGATTTTGTGTAAATGCGTCTCAACTGATGCAGTTCGTAGTTGCATACATATAGGTAACTTATGATTTTATTCTGGTTTCTGGAATGTTATAAACACATTATGACGTTTAGACTCTAGCAAACTTGACCTCACAGAGTCAAAGATTGTTCCTCAAGAACTATAAGATTCTTACTAATTCAATGCCCGAAAGACATCGTAAAAATAGTCTAATAGCTATAAAAAGAGTAACTTGGCTCACCTGCTAAATAAACGTATTCCAAACTCCTTGGTCCCGTCAACAGCGATGACTTGATATGTCTCAGCATGTTCCCTCGAAGGTCCAAGTCTCTTAGAACTGGCATGTCCATCACTATCTCCGGAGGCAGCTCCCATAGCGACATTAATCCGTGGATGATAAGTTTCTGTTGTTAAAAATATACACTGGTCAGTACATACATATGAAGTTATATTATATTAGATATGATGTCCTTGAATTCAGTACCTAATTCGGACGAAGGATTTTTCTGTGTGTGTTTCGGTACCGGTTTTTCTACGCAGTCTATGATAATGGTCATCACTAGACGAAACCCTCAAAGCAGATGGCAATCGCTTTATTAATCTTGGTGAAAACTAATTATGATAAGACAGGCGAGCTATTTAGTTTGTGCTCTTTGTGTTTATCACTTAGCTTCCAAAAAAATAATCAATTTTAATCCGTAGTCTCTGGATGGATGAGATGGATCTCGGTTTTTTGACAGAAAATCTACATAAATGACATAATTCAAAATCTAAAGACTACATTGATTTCGGCTGTTATAAACGAACACGAGTTCTAAAATCGACTTAGGTACTATTAGTATCGATAGTACCCGACTTCGCGAGTGTCATCACGTCACTGTTATTATTAGCTTCTATTGCATCATGTAAACAGTTCTTACTTTTAAAACAGATAAACTACTTTTAACTAGATAGAAAATATGTATGATATAATATGTCACATAACATCACGCCTTTTATCCCCGAAGGGGTAAGCAGAGGTGCACATTACGGCACTAAATGCCACTGTACAATGTAACACACACTTTTCACTATTTATGTTATGAGTCCCATGTAATAGGGGGTGAGCCTATTGCCATATACCGGGCACATTTCCGGACTCCGTGCTACTACTGAGATTTTTAAAAACCCAGAATACTTTGTCCGACCCGGGAATCGACCTCGTGACCTCTTTACCAGCAGTCGCACTTGCGCCCACTCGGCCAACGAGAGCAGATATAATATGTATCATTACTTATGTGAACATAATAGATTTTTTCATGACAACAGAATTAGGTATGCGACTCTAGTATTAACACAGTCGAAACTCGTATGAAGAATTTACCGATTTTTTATGAGAATTGATACAATCGGGATTCTTCTAATCGTACGAAGCGGGCAAACTTGTAACTCGTTTCTTTGTTATGTATACTGATTTGAAATAATTATTCCATTTGAGGTCGCTACCTTAAATTTTAATTCACTGTCTCTAAATATTTTCTTTATTATCTACGATAAAAAATACGTGTCGAACTAAAATTCTTTTCGGTATCAGATTGACTAAGTTAACACATTTTCAATTTTGATACCCTATCATCTTCTCTATTATGTAGAACTATTTACTTGCCCAGTAATTAGATAAAATCCTTATTTTAAAATATTACATTCGATTATTATTATTAAAGTGACAAAGATTATCCGTTATCGTCGAGACCCTGAACTTAGCAGAACGTCGCAGTTTTAAAATGGGTTTAATAACCTCTGCTGCATATATGTAAATTTGTATGTGTGTGTGCAGATAATGAATACATTAGCATTAGCATACAACTAAAAATTTATTGGTGTAGGTTGTCTACTGTCTGTATAAATAAGTAGAAACCATTTGTTTAGGTATTGGATTGTCGGTATTACGAAGGTTATTCGAATTAATTTGTCTATATTACCTATGTTGGTAATATATTTGGAATGAGCACCTAGCTTCACCTTAGTACACCTTAATAGTCTGTCAGTCAGTACAGACTATTATTTATTTTGTACTAGCTTTTACCCGCGGCTTCGCTCGCGTCACAAAAGGATAAAAAGTAGATATAATAATATACCAATACACACAGCGCCATCTATACCAATTATTTTGTTTTCCTTCGGGAATATCAAATGTTTTTCGGGATAAAAAGTACCCTATTATTTAAACCGGACTTCTAATTTTACGTCTGCAAAATTTCAAAGCAATCGGTTTAGTACCTACTTACGGCGTGAAAGCGGAACAAACAAACAAACAAACCAACTCACTTTCCGATTTACAATATTAGTAAGGATTTGTTGACGTTTCAAAAGTACCATATTATGGTTTCATTGAAATAAATGCTTTGACTTTGTAAAGACAAATAATGTGTGATTTAATTTTTATATTTTCTTTTTCATTTCTTTTATTCATCCTATTTTAAAGCTATGTTTACAAAAAGCTTTATTCATTTATTCTACTGATATAAAATGGATTGTCAAGCGAACGAATATTCGAGGTCACGCTAAAAAATGGATTAACGTGAAAAATGGAAGAGCAGATAATCTTTTTAAAGTAAAAATTTTCATGAACATTTTGAAAATGACAAGCGCCACACGCCGTTTGTTTAACAAATCGAAATATTTAGACCTAAATCAATTTTTTACATAATTCGTATGGAAATGCCTCGGTTTTTAATCCGAGATCGACCTACAGATTTTGGATATTTAAATAAATATTTTTTTCTCACATAACATAACATCACGCCTTTTATCCCCAAAAGCAGAGGTGCATGTTTTACCACTGTACAATGTAACACCCACTTTTCACTATTTATGTTATGAGTAATATGGGTCAGCCTATTGCCATATACCGGGCACAATATCAGACTCCGTGCTACTACTGAGAATTGTTGAGAAACCGGTAATACTTTGCCCAAAGAGGAAGTATAATTTTTTATTGTAAAAGTATAAAGACAAAGTACATTTTTTAGTCTTAAATAATAATAATATTTATATGGATAGAAATCTAAATTACCAATGTAAATATAATCCTTTGCTGCTGAGATCGATGAAAAATATATATTTGATCGAATTATTCGGTCCAAAACATTAAATCTGACCTCTATAATCATGACGTTAGCCTATACTCCGAATATTGATAACTAAATGACTTTGCAGGGTGTCAACAATGACACATTTCCGTTTCCAATAGATAAATTGTCAGTTACGTTATTTGCAACGTATAGGTTACACGTAGTGACCGGGGTAAACTTGTCTGTGATTAATTAACTTTTTAATCTTATAGAGTGTACCAAAGAGTATTCTATGCACTGTGCACCGCCGGGAATTCTTAATGGCGGTCCTCTGGACAGTATTAATTATTGCTTGCCAGGTAAAAGTACATTTTATTACTGTATACGTAACATTCCTTTTGGTTTAGTGGCCTCTGTTTATTAAGTCGCAAGTCACAAGCTGATCTGTAACCAACTTCCATAAAAAGAGGTTATCAATTCAATCCGTATGTATCTAATATTTCCAGAACTGTCCAGTTTTCCTATATGTTAATCTATATCATTAGTTATTTATATTATCCTATGTTTTATTTGTCCACCCCTATTACATGGGACTCATAACATAAAGAGTGAAAAGTGGGTGTTACATTGTACAGTGGCATAATGTGCACCTCTGCCTACCCCTTCGGGGATAAAAGGCGTGACGTTATGTTTGTGTGTATGTTTTATTTGTGGGGCAACGTTTTTTTTAAAAAGAAAAATAGATCACACATCTATCACGAGTTATCACTTACTATCAACCAGCGATCGCGAAATGTGATAACATAAACATACAATAAACAATAAACTTTATATTCTGCAAGCCTATTACAAGTTTAATACAAAAAGTGTTTATCTTATCTGTAAGTTTATCGGGCACTCATAGTGTATTCAAGCTACCGAACTCGATAATGTCGGAACTATGACCGATACTAACGAGTTTGAAGCAAACTTCCTCAGTCCTGCTAAGATGCAAAAAGTTGGGTCAAAGTTTGTGAAAACTGTATACAGGCCGCGGTCGACTTGGTCTTTAGAAATGAATGCTGATTATGCGAAGTTCAGAAATCTGTTAATACTTTGTACTTTCAAATATTTCTTATTTCACTTTGAATTGTGAACTTGCCAACTAGTCGAGTTCTATACTTTTTTCGAATTGTCAAAAACGACGGTTTTCTATGAATTTTGTACGAGATTGTGTATTGTGACGTCACGTTTTTTTAAAGTCAAACAGCATATTACTTATTTGTTAAAAATGTGCTGGAAAAATTCTAAAATTAAATTGGTCATAAAATCAATTAATGAAAGTGGGATTATTTTTTAACATTTTATTGTATTGAACAGTCGATATAATTTATTTTTAATGAAGGCAGGTTACCAATTGGCATTTTTTAATTCACCGGTTTGTATGTTTCAGAAAAGTGTTTGTTACACTTAGGAGAAGGTTTTAGTACATTAATTAACCGACTTCAAAAAGAAAGGAGGTTCTCACTTTCACCTGTATGTACCTATGTATAAAAAAAAATAAGTGCGCGGGATTATCTCGCGATCCGCTCAACCGATTTAGATGCGAGTTTAAAAAAAGAATTATTTGTTTCACTTGTTTTAATAGAAATAAATTATGATTTTGCTAGCAAAATCATAATTTATTGATAATTTATTGATTGAATAAATTATGATTTTGCTAGCAAAATCATAATTTATTGGTCTAGACCATTTTAATTTTTGATTTCTTTATATTATTTTTAATACTTGAATGTTATAACTATAGAGTAAATAAAACTAATACAATATAATAGATTAACTCTAACTCCCCTACTCAAAAATAATAAATACATCAACAGCCTACAAGTGGCCTCTGCTGACTAAAGGCCTCTTCTCACACGGAGAAGGTTTGAGCATTAATCACAGAAAGAAAGAAAGAAAGAAAAACCATTTATTTACACAGCGCTTGCTCATTGCGGGTCGGCGATTTCAAACTTATAATTAGAAATTATAAGCCCAGGTTTCCTCACGGTGTTTTCCTTCACCGGTTAGTCAGTGGTGTCTAAATAATCTTAGAAAGTACATATAACTCGGAAAATGTGTCATTGGTGCTTGCCGCTGGTAGGTCTAACGGCCACCACAATAATAAACTTTATTTCAAAATAAACTCGGCCAAAGACTGCCTCGTTGGCCGAGTGGTCGCAAGTGCGACTGCCGGGTAAGGGGTCTCGGGTTCGATTCTCGGGTCGGGCAAAGTAATACTGGGTTTTAAAAAAAATCTCAGTAGTATAGCACGGAGTCCTATTACATGGGACTCATAGCATAAATAGTGAAAAGTGGGCGTTACATTGTACAGTGGCATAATGTGCACCTCTGCCTACCCCTTCGGAGATAAAAGGCGCGATGTTATGTTATGTATATCAAAATAAAATAAAACCTAAATTTATAATTTAAAAAGAAAGAGTATCGGAAAGCTCCTCATAACTTATTTAATATCGTTTTTAGTAATACCTCCGTGAATATATGTCTAGACAGTACAAAACATCGATTTCAAGTAGCATATCTTTTGTACTTAAATAATTCCTTATTTATTTGAATAATTTAATATAATTTAGGTATTATGATATGACTGCACGGTTGGTGCGGTGGCTGGGCAATAGGCTGCCGCGCAACGTGTCGCGGATTGGATTCCCGCACGGAACTATTTATGTGATTCACAAATTGTTGTTCCTGGTGTGATGTGTATGTAGTTATGTATAACCAGTACCACGAACAGTTACCATAAACACTGATCACACCATGCCACCCAGGAAGGCCTATGTTATCCTAATCAGTAACGTTCACGTGTCATCTGTCAGCAACTGTTTCTCCTAATCAGCTAATGATAAAGTAATCTGCCACCAACTACTTCCGTTGCTAGCCCACTGTGAGGTCTAGACACGGACACACGGACACACACATACACACACACACACACACACACACACACACATACACACCCTCAGACACACACATACAAATCTTTCTCTAGTATTTAAGATGATGTTATATAGATTTAAGGGTTCATTATTTAATAACGCTCATGCTAAGCATACCTGTGTACTGTATTTAATTAAATAAACTATTTTTCATTAAAAATCTTGCGCGTTCATATTTGACTATGTAAACTTGTATGTTTGTAAACGCACCCACGACATAGGAGAAAATCCTAGTGTGGGGCAACGTTTAATTAAAGAAATACTTATTAGTTAGTTACGTACGTTACAAAAATAGGAAAGTTTGGACAAAATATTGGACTGAACGTTTAGTATAATCGCTGATCGTTAACTTTAACTTTTCCCTACAATGTAATGAAAAGTACAGGACCTAATTTTAATGCTTTAATGAATAACGTTTGTTTCGAAATCAATATAATACAATTAGAACCAATTTAATACATTATATTCCTACTAGTGTCTGCCAGCGGCTTCGCCGGAGTTTCAATGGAATAAAAATTAGCCTACGTGTTATTCCATTATTCCAAACTTTAATCTACCCTTGTTCCAAATTTCATTCCAATCCCTTTAGCTGTTTTGCATTTAAGGAGTACCAAACACACACATACATCCTCACAAACTTTCGCTTTTATAATATTAGTAGGATTTATTTTTAAGGGGGGAAAATCATCGAATGACTTTTCCCGCCTGGGTGCGGTAGGAGGGAGTGTCAGACTCTTAGTGGCTAAAACCCGCCCCGTTTCTTCTCATGCACTTCGAGTCGGAGCTCCGGTAACCCGTTAAGTTCTTCGCGGCGCCGTATCGGCATCAACCCTATTAGGCCCCATCCGTGGCGGTCTGATGGCTCTTTGAGTATATTAGTAAGATATGATTGCCACAGACTACAGAAAATAAACCTAACACTCGATGTTTCGATTTTTAATAAGAAAATACAAGTTGTATATAAACACAAGCTGCTTAAGAATTTACACACGACTTATTTATTCATTTCAATTATTTAATGTCAATTAGGAATAATCTCAAATCTAGATTAAGTTACCTACTCTTTGTAGAGCAATATTTATAATAATCTTAATTACGTAATCTCGTATTTACGGCTTAAACACCAATTAACACACACAGAAGAACCAAATATATAATATTTATGTTGGTAATATCAAATAACATTTATTTATGTTTCATCTTCAAGAGAATTACTATACAAATTACTTTAACTTTGATTATGAAAACAATTCGATTATCTAATCGAATCAAATCAAACGAAATAGTTTGTTAAGCAAATAGCAACCAAAGTAAAATCGATACAAACCTCAATTTTGTTCACAGCACTGAAATGGCCCTTGAAGCTCTTCAGAGAGGTAGAGTTGATGAATTCTAAGAATACAAGCTCTGGGTAGTGGTACTGAAGTCGGGCGACATTGAAGCACTCTCCGGGCCAGTTCATCAGACGGAGGTGAGTTATTTCACGTCTAGAACAAAGAAAAATTTAAATATTAGGACTATTTATTCGAGTAGCTGGGCTGACTTGATTGTACTGTAAAAAAAATAGGAGTGAACACACAAGTAGTTTTTTATCTCGACAGAGCCTTTGACTGCTAACAGAAATTAGTTAAAGATAAAACCTCTGCTAAACCCCGGTCATCCGTAATCTACGCCGCGGTTAACGTATATGAAACGTTTCATTCGATAACTAAATGGTCTTAGTGGAAATAGATACTCTACTATTTTGTTTTCTAAACCCAATCCCGTGTGACGTATCAGAAAAAATACCATTGTAACAAAGAAAAATCAAAACATTACTTCATTTATGTACTTCGTTTCTAAAAATGGCAACCGTGAGATTTAGGTGCTGGCCAAAGGCTAGACAATGTAGCCAATAAGGCGGAACCTAATGTAGATAGACGTTTCTAGTCATAGGTTGTGGAAAGAAACAACAAGAACAAATATGTTTCACGTTGTACTGTCTTCGATGTGGGAGTACCTATCTTCAAGAAATATAGATACTGACAACTAATGTAAGAAAAAATAGGCAATTGTTTGAAAAAAGAAGCGATAGACACAATTTTAATACTAGAGGTAAAAATAGGTTAGCTATACCGCAATTCAGACTGTCCAAGGTACAGAAATCCTTCATGCGGTAAGTTAATAAATGCTATAATAAATTGCCTTCCAGTTGCCTCAATGCAAGTAAATTTAAAACAAATGTATATTAAGCGCGAATTATGTACTGACTGATAGATTATTATTTGGTTTGTATTTGTTGACGTTTCCAGAGTACCAAATTATGGTTTAATTGAAATAAATGCTTTGACTTTGACTTTACCCAAATATCAATATTACATATTATCTGTACTGAAAATCGGTGTGGGAAAATACGTGTTAAGTACAGGAGAATCATGCTTCGGCAGTCGGCACGGATGGGTCGGTTCGACTGGAGTGATACTGTAATGGAAATCATGATTTGTTTACCTTTCCCAAGGAAACCATTACTATCTGTTTGTATGTCATTAGATTATGTATCATTAAGTAATTCAATGTTTACTGTTCTCAAAACTTATGATGTTTGTAATAGCACTAAAAGATCACAAATTAGTTAATGTTGTTGATCAGATTACTAATGAAGGAACAAGGGTCGTGGTACTTATCTACCCCTTCCAGTAATGATGCTGTGTATAAATAGTTACAACAGCTCTTTTCCAAGACAGTCAGTAAAAACAGTCAGTACAGTCAGTATTGTTAGTCAGAATAAGAAGTCAGCATTTAAAGTTAGTCTATATTATAATTATTTTTTTTATGGCATACGCCGGTAAACGGATCATATTATTCAAACCTCATTTAGGTACAAATCAAAGTAGATAGCCTAATTTATTAGCCTAGTAACATAGTAGGTACACTATCAAATAATGTCTATTTATTTCTGTCGATTTAAAAGTCCGTGGGTTATCGCTAAGTAAGATAATATTTTGATTTGTTATTGTTACGGAATACTAAACTCTAAAATAATATTATATTATGAATCGTTTTTGATCAGATTGGTTTCGAGTACCGAATAAGAGGATTCCGATTTGAATCTTTAGTTTGGACAAACCAATATTGCTTTAAATTTTTTACAGAGATGTGCTTTTTTTAATGGGGGAAAATCTTCGAATGACTGCTCCCGCCTGGGTGAGGCGGGAGGGAGTGTCAGACTCTTACTGACTAAAAACCATCGCGTTCCGTCTCCTGCACGTCGAGCTGGAGCCCCGGTTACCCGTTAAGTTCTCCGCGACTCCGAATCGGCATCGGCCTTGTTGGGCCCCATCTATGGTGGTCTGATGGCTCTTTGAGGCGAGCGACGCGCCGTACGCTCGGGTCTAGAGACCGCTTTTGCCTTCAGAATTACGACGTACTTACTTTGAATTCACGCAAACTATTTTGTTCATTCCATTTTAATTTTAAATATGTCTTTGAAGTTTTCACAAAAAGTTCTTACCGAATAGGAGGTAGTACCTACAAGCACTAAACATATTTAATTAAGGACGTTGAATAAAAGGCGGACGTATTGCCATCATTACATACTAATACATCATTAATTTTTTTCAGCTAGAGGCTCATATTCATGAGCAGCATTTCGAATATGAGCCTCTAGCATGGCTTCAAACTAGTCGAGTTTCTCGTCAAATTATTACGAGAGTAAGCCGAAAACATAATAATTTATTTAGTATGTCTCACGAAAGTTACAATACAAATACATACTTAGTTTTGAAATCAACAATATTCATTTACAAGTCGCCTACTTTTAGAAGATAAAACGTAAGAAAACAAAAATAATTAACGATCAAATCAAATTGCAATGACAGAAATTTTTGCTGCCTTTAATTAACTGCGAATAAACACACGGGCACTTTTATCGCCCCTACATACTTGATGACGTTACGAATTTATAGACGTATTATAAATAAAAGGGCGAATGACGTCACGTCACTGGACAGCTGTGACGTCACCACGACGTCACAGAGCCAAGCCTGTTCACGTGTTAAAGTATTGTGGCGTAACGGGTTAGTACTCGAAAATAATGGCGTAATGAGGGTTATCGTTTTTGCAATCGCTAGGTAGGTAGTGCTAATATAATACAAGGTCCTGTTTGTCCATTTCTTGGTATAACCATAGACAGTCAATTTGTGACAAATTTAACATAACGTCACGCTTTTTATCCCCGAAGGGGTAGGCAGAGGAGCACACAGAATTAACACCCACTTTTCACTATTTATGTTATGATTCCCATTCCCATGTAATAGGGGGTAAGCCTATTGCCATATACCGGGCATTGTGACAAATTTGTGACAACAATATTGAAAAAATCATCATCCGGCCTTCTCTGTACTCCCAAATATTTTTAAAAACTTTAACTAATAGTTGGTTAGAAGAAGCGTAAAAGGTAACAATTATATTTCCTTTTGTAATAAAGTCACCCACGCATGAATAACGTGCATCAGAAATGTAGGGCTAAATAACATAACTTCACGCCTTTTGTCCCCGAAGGGGTAAGCAGATGTGTACATTACGGCACTTAATGCCACTGTACAATGTAACACTTTTTACTATTTACTGTTATGAGCCCCATGTATCTAACAGGGGACGAGTCTATTGCCATATACCCGGGCACAATTCCAGACTACCATGCTACTACTGAGATTTTTTTAAAAACACCCAGTAATACTTTGCCCGACCCGGGAATCGAACCCGAGACCCCTTGCCGGGCAGTCGCAGTTGCGACCACTCGGCGACCGAGGCAGTCTAGATAAATATATCTACGTATTTCTCTCAATTAGCAACTCTTGATTACGAAACAAAACACGATGAAATTGTGAAACATACAGTAGGGGGCACAATACAATAAAGACATACAGACGAAACAACATGGCTTCCCCTAAAACCGCAACGGCTAATTAATGTTGTACCCTTTTACCCGTTATAATTATCTTAGAAAATACAAAATAATATAAAATAACATTTTAACACAGGTACATTAAATTTGACATGTGTTTTAAAGACTTATAACAATTAAATTATATTGTAGTTTATACAAAAACCAAACCTATGAAATTGACTAACGCCCAAATACAGAAACTACTAAATTTCAAGTTGTAATTGGACCTCCGGTGACCTCACTCACCCGACGAAACACAACGCAAGCGTTATTTCACGTCGGTCTTCTGTGAGGCTGTGGTATCACTCCGGTCGAGCCGGCCCATTCGTGCTGAAGCATGGCTCTCCCACAGGTCATTAAGTTATTCTCGATTCTCGGCAACTCGCAATAGAACAGCTTTTTAAACATTAGGGCGCGGTACCGTTTACGTAACATTAGCTAAATCTAAAAATATTATGTAAACTTTGTTTGTTTCGACATGAAAGTATTTAAGTAACAGCCTAATATCAAAAATAAATGTTTAACACAAAATTCCCTAACATTATGTTGAAGTCGTTTATGAATAGAGGGTGAAACTGCGGGAAAGTATTAGATCATAATACATTGCAACCGAGCCATAGCTATTTTTAGGTTTTATGAAATACTAGCTGTACCGCATTCGTCTACATGTTTCTAAAAAAAATTAGCCTATGTTACTCCTTAGTATATCAGCTACCTACTAATAAAAATCCCGTCAAAATCGCCAGTACAAATAGACAGACTAAAATTGTAAAAATTGTTATTTTGGTATATGTATCGCATGTTAACACATACCTATGCAGTAAAAAGCGGTTTGAAATTAAAATTTTACTTTATTTAATACATACATACCTACATAGCTCACGCTACCCCCATGGGAGACACAGGCGTGAGCATATAATTTTGGAACGCCAATTACTACGATTCCTACCTACCTCTTTCGCTTCATTTATACTTCTGCATATAAAGCACTTATGCCTAGGGCATTCTCTGTTCACTGAGGAGGTCGGAATGGACTGCCAATAATGGCCCCATTCCGCCTCCTCCAGGCGAACATCAACCACTGCGCCGCTGCTCAGGATCTCCTGCTCCAGAGCATGGCGCAGTGGTCGATCAATGTCGCCGTGGTCTCCGAGCCGTACTTTGTCCTGCCCAGGGATCACTGGGTGGCGGACCTGGACGGCTCGGTGACCATCATCTCGTCGGCCGCCGCCGATACCCCGACTCTTGAGGCTGCTCAAAGAGGCCGGGGTTGTGTCGCAGCACGGTTCGGAGAGCTCGCTGTGGTGGGCGTGTACTTCTCTCCGAACCGAACTCTCGCCGAGTTCCACAACTCCTTGAGGGAGTTGGTCACTGTCGTCGTCGGGTTCCGTTCCCTCCGTGCCGTCTCGTCCTCGGGACTTCAACGCCAAAAACTTGGCTTGGGGTTCCCGGTTCACCGACGTCCGGGGTAGGATGGTGGAAGACTGGGCCCTTGAGACAGGCCTAGTCGTCCTGAACCGGGGTTCTGTCCCCACGTGTGTGCGGATGCAGGGCGAGTCGGTGGTGGACATCTCGTTCGCCAGCCCTGCTCTTTCACAGCGTATTGTTGGCTGGCGCGTCATGGAGGAGGTGGAGACGTACTCCGACCACCGGTATATCCGGTTCGACGTCTCCGCCGAGTCCGCAGACCCGCCGGTCAGACAGGCCCCATGTGGCCCGCGTTGGGCGCTGAAACAGCTGGACCGGGAGCTGCTCCTGGAAGCCGCCATCGTGCAGGCCTGGGTGATACCACCGGTCAGGCCTGCCGACGTTGACGATGAGGCCAAGTGGCTCCAGGACGCCATGTCCAGGATCTGTGACGTGGCGATGCCCCGGATCCGGTCGAGGCAACAGAAGCGCCAGGTGTACTGGTGGTCGCAAGAGCTGGCGGCTCTGCGCAAGGCGTGCACTACTGCGCGACGCCAGTACACTAGGCACCGCAGGCGCCGTATCCGTCCTCCTAATGCGGAGGCGAGAGAGGCGGAGTTATACGAGGGATACAGGGCGGCGAAGGCCCTCCTCAAGGCGGAGATATTGCGGGCCAAGGAGGAGGCCCGCCGAGAGATGCTGGGGACTCTGAATAGAGACCCGTGGGGACGCCCGCACCGGATGGTACGCGACAAGCTCCGTGCTTGGGCTCCCCCGCTCACTCAGAGTCTCCGGCCAGAAGTCTTGGAGGAGGTGATTGGCGCCCTGTTCCCCCGACTGTGGAGGGGCTTCACCCCTCCGTATATGACTCCGCCCCCTGCGGTGCCCGACGCGGGCTACAGCGACGACGACGATGACATCGTCCCAGAGGTGACCGAGGCAGAATTGAGAGCGGCGGTGCGCCGGATGGGCGCCAAGAACACCGCCCCAGGACCCGACGGCCTGCATGGCAAGGCATGGGTCCTGGCCTCAGAGGCTCTCGGGCCTCGATTGATTGGTCTCTACAGCGCATGTCTGGAGAGAGGCCAGTTCCCGCTTCTCTGGAAAGCGGGCAAACTGGTCCTCGTGCGGAAGACGGGGCGCCCTGCGGACTCTCCGTCCGCGTACCGGCCCATAGTGCTGCTCGACGAGGTGGGGAAAGTCTTCGAAATAATCATTTCGAACCGCCTCGTCGCGCACCTGACGGACATTGGGCCGGACTTGTCGGACGGCCAGTTCGGCTTCCGCAGAGGGCGCTCCACGGTGGACGCCATCATGCGCGTTAGAGACCTCACGACGGGGACTGCAGTGTCCAGGGGTAAGGTCGTAGTGGCGGTGTCTCTGGACATCGCCAACGCCTTCAACTCCCTGCCCTGGAGCTGCATCTTGGAGGCACTCCGATATCATCGGGTGCCTACCTACCTCCGTCGTGTAATCGAGGCTTACCTGACGGACAGGTCCGTCAGCTACCCCGGTCACCGGGGCGAGTGGAACCGGCGAGAGATGTCACGCGGTGTTCCGCAGGGTTCGGTTCTGGGGCCGCTCCTGTGGAACATCGGCTATGACTGGGTGCTGCGCACCGACCTCCCGAACGGCGTTAGCACAATATGCTACGCCGACGACACGCTGGTGCTAGCGCACGGGAGGTCGCACCAGGCGGCGGCCGACTTAATGGCGACAGCGGTTGCGACAGTCGTTGAAAGAATCCGGCAGTTGGGACTCGAGGTGGCGCTCCACAAGTCCGAGGCCATGTGTTTTCATGGCCGCGGGAACGCGCCACCTCCGGGTGGGTCCCAAATAACGGCGGGAGGGGTTACCATCGGCGTCGAGACGGCGATAAAGTACCTAGGACTCGTCCTCGACAGTCGGTGGAACTTCATAGAGCATTTCCGACGTTTGGCTCCAAAGTTGGAGAGGACGGGGGCTGCGTTCAAATACATCCTCCCCAACCTCGGGGGGCCAAACGCCTCCTGCCGGAGGTTATACGCCGGGGTCGTGCGGTCCATGGCCCTCTACGGCGCCCCTGTTTGGGCGCCGAACTTGTTGCGGCGTCCTGCTCGGACGCTGCTCATGTCACAGAGGGTCATGGCGATCCGAATGATCCGCGGATACCGCACGATCTCTGGGGAGTCGGCGAACCTCCTTGCCGGATTACCGCCGTGGGATCTGGAGGCGAAGGTGCTCGCGCGCGTGTATAACATGCGCGCGGAGGCACGTCGCCGGGGCGAAACTCCGCTGCCGCGCCAGATAAGTGCGTGGCGGGATGAGCTCCGGCGCGATCTCATGGCGGAATGGCAGCAACGACTGTCGCAACCGAGGGCTGGGCTCGCTGCCATTGCAGCGGTAAGTCCCCTCTTTGAGGAGTGGCTTGAGAGACGCTACGGCGTCCTCACCTACCGCCTGACGCAGGTCCTCACCGGACATGGAAGTTTCGGGAGGTACCTGTGTCTGATGGGGCGGGAGGAAACGCCCGGGTGTCATCACTGCGAGGACCACCCTGAGGACACGGTGGAACACACAGTGGGAGAATGCCCTGCGTGGGCTGAGCACCGCCGTGCCCTCAGGGAAGTGATCGGCGATGGCGACCTCTCGCGTCCGGGCCTAGTGCAGGCCATGATGCGGAGCGAGGGGGACTGGGATGCCGTCTCCTCCTTTTGCGAAGCAGTCATGCTAGCTAAGGAGGAGGCGGGACGCGTGAGGCAGCGAAGCGCTGCCTCCTCGCAACCCAGCCATCGCGAAGGACACACCGGGCGTCGGGGATCGCGGGACGATCTCCGGCCACCGTAAGCGCGGGCCTGCGGACGGCGAGCATGGCTCCCCGTCCGACCAGAAACAGACCCGAGCGTACGGCGCGTCGCGTTCCGCGCGCGCCTCAAAGAGCCATCAGACCACCACAGATGGGGCCCAATAGGGCCGATGCCGATTCGGAGTCGCGGAAAACCTAACGGGTAACCGGGGCTCCGGCTCGACATGCAGGAGAAGGAACGGGGTGGTTTTTAGTCAGTAAGAGTCTGACACTCCCTTCCGCCTCACCCAGGCGGGAGCAGTCATTCGATGATTTTCCCCCCTTAAAAAAAAAAAAAAAAAAAAGGGCATTCTCTGTTAGTCCACCTTATGGTGGTACAGAGACAGGACATGGTAGTATAAGCTGTAAGGCTATTATTTTAATGACTAAAATAACTATGTTAAAATTACTAATTAACAAATTACGTATACCTACCTAATATTTATTTTAGACATTCAATCAATGTAACGTACATACTCTTGGAGTGAGACATTATCTAAATATAATTATTAACGTATTTTTATAATGACTATCGTGAGACATACTAAATTAAGTAAAAACGCGGGTTACTCACGTGAATATACTGAGAACAGCTCACTCAGCTCACTGAGCTGCGCGACGTCGCCGCGACCGCGCACGCTGCTCATGAGGAAGAACCCCTCTGTGGTTCGAAACTAGTAGAGCTTTTCTCAGTATATTCACGTGACTAACCCGCGTTTTTACTTATTAACGGATTGATTTCATAATGCTGGATATAAATAGAATATGTTATCAATATTCTAAATCTATAAATTCGATCTTTCGTAAATTACATTTTTGCTACTTCTGATTGCTTACCATCATGTGATTCATCATTTGCCGCCCTATCCGGCTATGCCATAAAAACTAACAAAAATATCTTCAAACTAACAAACAAACAAGTAAACTATACTCACTTGATCCCTCGCATCCAGTAACTGGCGAGGCCATCCTTGCATACCAGCTTATACTGGGACTGTGTACACTGAGCTCTGCTCGTATACTCCCCAAGAGCACAAGGCTTGCTCACTGAGGCATCTGAAGCATTTCTACTTCGAAACTGGAACCCTGGAGTCACCACTGACACCAGACTCAATAGAACCAAAGCTTCTGGAACTCCTGTGGACAAATACATTTTTTTATTAGTTTAACTGTCTTGTTGGCCTCGGTTTAGATTCTCGGGTTGGGCAACGTATTACTGGGTTTTAAAAAAAAAACTCAGTAGTAGTATAGAGTCTGAAATTGTGCCCAGTATATGACATAGGACTCATAACATAAATAGTAAAAAGTAGGCGTTACATTGTACAGTGGCATTAAGTGCACCTCTGACTACCCGTTCGGGGTTAAATGCGTGATGTTATGTTTTTCACAAACAGTTATGTTATTAGCTTTTGTTCTGATAAATTTTGTTGTATTCTTGCTCTTCCGTTGTATAGTAAAAGTCGACCAAGGAAGTACATATTTGACAGTGTGCTCTCAGCCGCACTCTCTGCTAAGCCTGAACCGCTTAAACTGATGTGTAAGCGGTTTAACTCGCCTGTCCACCTTAACTTTAACCTGCCTCAGCCTGCCTGCATTTCTTGAAGGTTTCTATTCTGTTAGGTGTGTATGTCCCTGAAACGATACTAAACAGTCTTCATATAAATATTACCTACTATTATCTACAACTGTTGCGGAGAACCTAACAAGTAACCGGGGCTCCGATTCAACGTGCAGGAGAAGGAACGGGGTGGTTTTTAGTCAGTAAGAGTCTGGCACACATGACTGCTCCCGCCTCACCCAGGCGGGAGCAGTAATTCGATGTTTTTCCCCCCTTAAAAAAATTATCTACGTCTACACTAATCTACATCTAGACTTTTTTTGTGAACTAAATTAATTAACGAATCTAAATTATTTCTGATGAGATTTGTTACACAGCATTACCATTAACCTTGGAGAAGACTAATTAAAAAATCCAAAATTTGCTAGAAGTCATTATTATACGCGGACGAAGTCTCGGGGACAGCTAGTATTACAAATTTTAAGACAATGATTATATCACAAAAATCAAATAAAAACCAAAAGATTTATAGAGTTCATCTATCTATACAGACGACGTCTACTCAAACGTCCCGGGCAACTAAAGCGGCCCAAAACTTTATAGCGTCTAACGGCGGGCAACTAGAGGTAGAATGACCCAGACGACTTGTTCCACTTAAACATGTTTTACCACGGAGAACCTAACGGGTAACCGGGGCTCCGGCTCGACGTGCAGGAGAAGGAACGGGGTGGGTTTTAGTCAGTAAGAGTCTGACACTCCCTTCCGCCTCACCCAGGCGGGAGCAGTCATTCGATGATTTACCCCCTTAAAAAAAAACACGAAAAAATATATTTTTCGTGTTCAACATGTTTAAGTTTTTTTATACTGGTATTTTTTAATTTAGTATAACAGTTGTAGATTGGTACAAAATTGTCTTTAAGTTGGACACGTCCACGTGTGCCCTGACGTGTCACGGGCGTTTGAGTGGAGCGTGTTGCACGTTAAAATTGGAGTGTCTGTTTGTAATATTAAAATAACCGTTTTTTATTACATGCAATATAACATTTTTTTTTAAGTGTGGGAGAGCTATGCTTCGGCACGAATGGGCCGGCTCGACCGGAGTGATACCACGGCCTCACAGAAAACCGACGTGAAGCAACGCTTGCGTTGTGTTTCGTCGTGTGAGTAAGGTTACCGGAGGCCCAATTACCCTCCCCTTCCCCAATCTCCCAATCCCTGAATCCCCAACGATCCTCAAACTCCTAATCCCCAAAAGGCCGGTAACGCACTCGTAACGCCTCTGGTGTTCCAGGTGTCCATGGGCGACAACGATTGCTTACCATCAGGTGATCCGTCAGCTCGTTTACCGGCTTATGCCATAAGAAAAAATTTGGTCTGTCTGTCTGTTTGACTGACTAATTTCTGAAATGGTTCGACTGATTTTGGCGGGACTTTTACTAGCAAGTAGCTAATGTACTAAAGAGTTAAATACGCTTATTTTATTTTGGAAAATTGAAACAAAAAAAGTTATTTCCTAAAACTCATACTCTACGCGGACGAAGTCGCGGGCAATAGCTAGTGTCATAAAAACTACCGGCTAATCTTCCAGAGAAATCATACGTGTTGGTAATTAAGTCCTACATCTTCAGACACAAAACCCACACAACGTTACAAATTCCTAATTGAATCCTTTATCAAAGGCACTATTATTGGAATTGGTGATACCGATACTTTTTTTTATTTGAGGGGGGAAAATCATCCAATGACTTCTCCCGCCCGTGTGAGGCGAAAGGGAGTGTCAGACTCCTACTGACTAAAAACCACCCCGTTTCTACTCTTGCACCTCGAGCCAGAGCCCCGGCAACCCATTAAGTCTTTTGCGGCTACGTATCGGCATCCGCCCTGTTGGTCCCCATCTGTGGTCTGATGGCTCCTTGAACTGGCTTGAATAACAAACACAAACTTTCACATTAATATGATTAGTAAGATGTGAAAGTTTATGTTAAAACTTTCGTGATACATACTAAACTAATTGTTATTGTTTTCGGCTTACTCACGTAATAATTTGACGAGGAACTCGACTAGTTTCAAGCCATGCTAGAGGCTCATATTCATGAGCAGCATTTCGCGACCCGCGACGCGGCGACCAGTAGCAGCGCGACAGTCGCCGCGTCGAATCTACTAGTCGAGTTCCTCGTCAAATTATTACGTCAGTAAGCCGAAAACATAATAATTTATTTAGTATGTCTTACGAAAGTTACAATACAAACATACTAAACTAATTGTTATTGTTTTCGGCTTACTCGACTAGTTTCAAGCCATGCTAGCAATACGTTCCGCGACGCGGCGGCTGTCGCACTGCTACTGGCTGCTCGACTCTGCAGCGGTGCGGGCCCAATATGAGCCTCTAGCATAGCTAAACTAGTCGAGTTCCTAGTCAAACATTTATTAGTTTAAGTGTCGGAAAGCCATGCCTCGGCATGAATGAGCTGGCTAAACCGGAATGATACCACGACCTCACAGAAAACCGACGTGAAACAACGCTTTCGTTGTGTTTTGTCGTGTGAGTAAGGTTACTGGAGGCCCAATTACCTCCTCTGCCCAGTCTCCCCGATTCCCGAATCCCCTACAATCCGCAAATTCACAATTCCCAAAAGGCCGGTAACGCATTCCTGATGTTTCGGGTGTCAATGGGCGACGCCGATTGCTTACCATCAGGTGATCCGTCTGCTCGATTACCAGCTTATCCGATAAAAAAAAAGTTGCGTGAGTAAGCCAAAAACATAATAATTAATGCGAACGTTTGTATGTTTGTTCGTAACACTTTTACGTCAAAACGGAACGAAATTGAGAGCAGGGATAGACTGGAAGAACACATAGGTTACTTTTTATCCCACGGGACCCCAGGCGAATACGCTAGCAGATGTTAGCCATTTATAGAAATGTTATATTCTACTCACACCTGTGTGTAGTGTGTAGGCGACAGGTATGAGAATATACGGCTAATCAATTTACCTGTGCTAGCCTCTACGCTGTTTGCCGATATAAGCCACTCAATACCCAATGAACACGTGTAGTACCGTTACTCAATGTTCGTTACTCCAATACAATTAGTGCTAATGTAATTAAAACTCTAAGGTGGTAAAACTAAAACATAATTTCAATTACATGGTGTAATGAAAAATTTGTTAAGAAAATGTCTGATCTCGATTTTATGCACATTTTTATTTATACTCTAGTTGGTTTCCAGTACAGATAGAAATTCGTCGACTAAATATATTATTTATCTGCAATATAAACTTGGTTATCGGGCACTTCTTGCAATGCACTCTGCATTATGCATTGCACAGGTATTATGCAATGAGGTATTTGTACCTGTAACAAAACATCACTACTTTTTTTCTAAGTAACGCGTATTATCTCTAAAATACTATCTTAAAAACGTTTTCCAAAGTATGGAGACCACGGTAGCTGTCGTAGTAGTCGATTGAGTAGCTACATCGCCGTGTGGCCTTCATTAGCCATTAGCCCTACATGTACTCAGGAAAATTAACATGTACCGTATCCACCTACGACCGTTTGTATTGCTTCCTTGACACTGATTTCCTACTGATATACTACGTAAGCTGAAAAAGGGGTTACACCTAGTTTTGGAGGGTGTAAGAGTGTAACTGTAAAGTATCATACGCTTATGACACACACAAGAGAAGTGCGTGGGACCTGGCCATTCCCAATGTATCCGTCTAATTACCTAAGATGAGATCCCAGTCTATCCGAATAGACATTTTCACATTTATAATCTTTTGAGCTGAACAAACAAGTTAACTGTTCTATATTTTTTTTTTTTTTTAATGATGGAAAATCATCGAATGACTGCTCCCGCCTGGGTGAGGCGGAAGGGAGTGTCAGACTCTCACTGACTAAAAACCACCTCGTTCCTTCTCCTGCACGTCGAGCCGGAGCCCCGGTTACCCGTTAGGTTCTCCGCGACATTCTATACTTATAATAAATCTGTAGAGAGGTAAATTCTGTACTTGAAATATATTTCCAAAATAACTTTCAGGGGATGATTAGTGATCGATACTAATACCAAAAATGGAATCAGTCAAATTTTGTTTGTCTGTCTGTCTGTCCGTATGTTCCTTATAGAAACAAAAACTACTTGACGGATTTTAACGAAACTTGGTACAATTATTCTTCATACTCCTGGGAAGGTTAAAGTATACTTTCCATCTCGCTAAAATCAATAGGAGCAGGGCAGTAAAGGGAAATGTTGAGATAATGGGAGAAGTTACTGCCATTTTTTAAGCTTCCGTAGCGTGTGCAGCCTTAACGGTTAAAGCTACATAGAAATCATGTACAACGGAAATGTTCTACATAAAATTATCTAAAAACTACTCCAGAACAGCATATGTCTATCTTTTATGGTTGACTCGTGTAACTCCCGATAGCTTAGCAGTTCGGAGTAGCTCCGAACCAGCAGTGTACGTCCTATGGCTGATGTAATGATGATGAATATGATGACTGCCTCGTTGACCGAGTGGTCGCTAGTGCGACTGCCGGGCAAGGGGTCTCAGGTTCGATTCCCGGATAGGGCAAAGTATTACTGGGTTTTTAAAAATCTCAGTAGTAACACGGAGTCTGGAAATGTGCCCGGCATATTATATGGCAATAGGCTCACCGCCTATTACACGGGACTGATAACATAAATAGTGAAAAGTAGGTGTTGCATTGTACAGTGGCATTAAGTGCCGTAATGTGCACTGCCTACCCCTTCGGGGATAACAGGAGTGATGTTATGTTATGTGTTATCAGAAAGGCACTTTTGAACGTCAATAAAAAATTAAAAGTGAAGCTATTTGCTCATTCTAAGGTGTAGATTTCTATGGAGAAGAACGAGCAAGAAACTCTATAGGTAGGTTACTCTTTTTCAATTAGATTCACAATACAATTCTCTAGTCACACAGTTTTATTACACAGGTTCGATTATGCGAGAACAATGTAACACCCAAATCTAGGCAGAGATTGAAAAACAAAATACCCTAAAGGACTATAAAAAATATAGTCTGGAGCTGATCTAACTACTATAATGTATTAGTCTACATTATACAATGCTGTCTAAGTTTAATCATCTTTTAACTCTGTGTATAATAATAAATTGTAACATATTCTAATATGAATCTTATGTACATAATTTACTGAGCTATTTTCAGTGCAGTGCTAACCAATACTAAGTAAATGACTGAAACGAAGGTTATTGAGTATAGTTTACAGTGAATTGGTCTGTCACGAACAATGTGTTTAGAGGAAACATTGGCATCTCACGTATGTGCTAATTACGGACCATAAATAGACAGTACAAGAGGATGTAAAGAGTAGAGTTCAGTTGCAATAAAGAAAAATATGTGTTTTATTGTTATTAAGTTCTGAATAATTCTGTATTCCTTGCAATTCATTATCATCATAACATAACATAACATCACTCCTGTTATCCCCGAAGGGGTAGGCAGTGCACATTACGGCACTTAATGCCACTGTACAATGCAACACCTACTTTTCACTATTTATGTTATCAGTCCCGTGTAATAGGCGGTGAGCCTATTGCCATATAATATGCCGGGCACAATTCTAGACACCGTACTACCACTGTCATTTAAAAAAAACCAGTAGTACTTTGCCCGACCCGGGAATCGAACCCGAGACCCCTTGCCCGGCAGTCGCACTTGCGACCACTCGGCCAACGAGGCAGTCTGATGTAATTGAAATAATTAATGATTTTGACTTTGACTTTTGACTTTTAGGCTTTAGTACTGCACCATTTTAATATTTAACTCGTCGAGTACCGGTTTTATAGACACAATTAAAGAACAATAGGTCGCGGTCACTGGTGACCGCTTGGTGTTTGACAGTTTAAAACTTACTACTACCTATAAATAACTGACTGCACTTTGTCCATTTACTGTATGGGTTGTAAATCGCACTCGATAAGTCATTGGATTGATAACCTATCAGAGACTCATAAATCACTTGTACTTAGGTATTTAATTGCAATTGCAGCCAATCATACGTGCAAGAGGCAGATAAGGGCGGGTTGCAATGAGATGCAATTGCATATGTTGAATATATCTATAGGTAAATAACCGATAACATATCGTATAATAACGCCTTTCATTCTCTGGAGTATGTTATCATCAAATAATAAATAAATAGCATTTGCGGCTGCGGTTTCACACGCTTTAATTGTGTCGATGACAGGGTATGAAAATTAAAAATATAATTAGTCCGTAAGTTAGGTAATGAAAAAATATTAGACACCTATTTTTTTATTTACCGTATAATAAAACAATACTTAGATAAAACGAATCGAAGTTTAAGAGTGGGGGCTAAATTAAAACGCCATTTCTACGTATAAAATGTACATAGAAGTGATGTCACGCGACATTTCAAATCAATATATCGTCGAAAGCATTCGTTTCTGTAAGAAAAAAAACGTGTCTAATGATTTAAAATAATCTACGACGGTCATTAAAATAAAAATTTGCCTATTGCATTGTACATTTCTATAAATCATCATCTTGAATCACTCTATCTATTAAAAAAACACATTAATTTCCGTTGTGTAGTTTTAAAGATCTAAGCATACATAGGAACAGACAATGGAAATTGACTTTAATTTCCTATGTTGTGATTAAATGTACTTTACGCTTTTTTGTACATTTTTCTCTTTTTTACTATTTTTATTTTTCTGCAATAAAATGAAAAAGTTTCAAGTTACCTAGTTAGTGTACTTAATCATTTATTGATTTTTATTTCAACAGTTTTGTTTGTTTTTATAATATAACTATCTTGAGGTACAAAATTAACTAACCTATAGCCTACCTACTTAACCTACAGCGGCGTAGGCAGCGCGACATCGCCGCGACCACGCACGCTCATGAGGAAGAGCCCCTCTATGGCTCGAAACTAGTAGAGCTTTTCTCAGTATTTTCTAGTTAGTAACCCGCGATTTGTAGGTAAATTTTGTTTGTGCTACACAAATCCTGGTGTACTACAAACAATGTTAATTACGGATGTAGACCTGTAAAATTTTACGTAAAAAGAACTTTGTTTTTGTTTAAGTTTTTGTCAAAAGATTGAGGTTTTTAAAGGTAAAGCAATTATGGTGATACCTTTTATGTTTTATTTTGTTTTTATTTTACCTAGCTCTTCAGTTTTATTTACTTTTATCCTAGTTTCACGCGTCGTAAGTAGGTACTTACGTAGTACCATTTTTTTACAAATGTTATTTTTTAAATATTGAAGGACAGTCGTCAGCGTCTTCAGCCATTAGAAAAAGATATCAGCCATCATAACAAATTATTATAAAGAAAAGATACGTAAGTGACATTATTATACGGCTGTATTTTGAAAAACCCTTTCTATCAACAACGTCTACTTAACTCTATTCACAAATGAAAAACGCACCAAAATCCGTTCAATAATTTTTGAGTTTGTTACGAATATAAAGTCGCTGCAGAAAGTTGTTTGTTCGTGTAACGATAGTTAAAAAGTAAACACAAAACTATTAACCCAAAAATTTGGAAATTATTCTACAACTGACCTAAAGAAAATTTAATTTTCAGTAACCACAAAGCTTGTAAATTCATACGTCCCACGCGAAATAGGGTCGAGAATTCAAATCCCACGCAGACGAAGTCACAGGCGTAGCACTAGTGAACATAATGTTAAAGATTTATAATATAAACAATCATTTTCGTAAAGTTTCGGCTAAGGCCCTGAGGCTGGCTAATCCAACTAGTTAAATAATAACCTCGTCAAATATATGAGATAATGATATTGCTAGTTATCTTTCTATTTTATAATTCTTTTATAATACACTTACTTCACTTCCACCGTTTTTTTTTGAAGTCGGTTAATTAATAGGTATAATAATACCTTCACCCAAGTGCAAAAAGTACTTTTCTGAAAACCGCACCTAACTCGGTTCAGCCATTCATCAGAGAATCACGCAGAAACATACATATATACCACAGATATATACACACATAAATATATATATTATATACAGGTCAAACTCTAACTGAGAACCTCCTCTTTTTCTTTTTGATGTCTGTATATTAATTAACCGACTTCAAGAAAAGGGGTCCTTTGTAGCTTTTTTTAAACGCATCGTATAAATAATAAAGTAAATGATGTTTTTGGAATTATTCAGTTCTGGCTGTCGATAGCACGCAGTCTGGAATTGTGCTCGGTTTATGGTGTTCATCCCCTTTTACTCTATTATATAGAACTTTAACTGTTAATATAATAAGGGAAAAGTAGTTAAAATTAGAAATATAGATATTGTACATAGGTATTTGTCAAATACCTACTTTTGTGCAATGTCAAAATCATTTATTTCAATTAGACCAGGAAAGTTTAAGCGAAATTAGCTTTTGAACGTCAACAGAAAATTTAAAAGAGAAGTTTTTATTTAGCTCTTTCTAAGGTATAGATTCCTATGGAGAAGAACGAACGAAAAACTCCATGGGTTGATAACTCTTTTCCAATCACAAACACACATTATTGCGAATTAAATTTTAGACCTATACAACTTTACTTTTTGATTCATTAATCATACTAGAATAAGAAAAACCATCAAAGCTACCGATGTTCCAACACTTCTAACATATGCACTGAGACTAAAATGGAAATGGGCAGGCCACGTCGTGAGATATACAGACCAGAGATGGACAGCGAGAGTGACATTGTAGAAAGGCCCACCGGGAAAGAGAAGTCGAGGGAG